CTCCCCAGTCCTTCTTTTCATTAAACTAGACATACCCAGTTCCTGCAGTCGTTCTTCATATCTTTTAGCCTCCAGTCCCCTAATCATCTTTGTTGTTCTTCTCTGCACTTTTTCTAGAGTCTCCACATCTTTTTTACATTGTGGCGACCAAAACTGAATGCAGTACTCCAAGTACTGCATCCTTGGCCTTACCAAGGCACTATAAAGTAAAATACCCACAACCACTACTTATGTGCCCACTTCCATGCTTGTCCAGAGTCCATTAAGCCATCAAATTGCTTTTAATGTCCCATAGAGACTTATGCAGAAGAAAGGACCTACATCCAGGGAATCATGCTATTCACAAAACAATTAACATATTGTTTTATTTAATGCTGCATCTAGAATTAATGAAATTGATTTCCAAACAGGATAAAACAGTTTCCAAAACCTGAAAACCATGGTGGCTCATCCCTTCCCCCCATTTGCCTAAAGATATAGAAGGGATTGTTAATAGTCAGGGGAGAGAGGTATGTTTCAGAGAGTGGATGGATGAGAACATGAATATATGTTTGCACTAGCCAAAAGGAACAAAATTAAACAGAAGTCTCAAATTTATTTCTGCATTAATAAAATGTATTACTATTAACTGAACCTTTCCATAATTGAAAAAGATAATAATAGCATTTACTCAAAATGGTAAAATCCATTTATATTGCATATCAGCTCTAAAAGTCTTGAAAATTCACTCTGACTATGTATTAAAGAGGAGCAGCCAAGAAACTTCACATTGTTCCATTAAAATCACTGGTCTGTAAAAGGTCCCTGGTGTACGCTTTCCCGTTACTTTGCAAAAATACAGCTGTCCATCTTTCATGGAACTAGAGATATCACATCAGGTTGGTCTTCTCAATTGTGTTTTATCAGAGCAAGCTGTTCCACTCACCCATTTATTATTTTGATGCTTTTCAATGAATTGTGCAATTCAGCGCACTGAACAAAACTGGAAAAAATCTCTACAGGTAATTCTTGATTTACAACCAGTAACTTAGCAACCGTTTGAAGTTACGACGGATCTCCCTGGCGGTACCTATGACTCAGTTCAGGGGTGGGCTTCAAATTTTTTTAGCAAGAGGTTCTCTGCCCGGTTGTTGGGTGGGCGTGGCCTAGTCAGCCTCCTGCACCACGGGGGGGGGGGGCATTTTTGCCCTACCTGGGATCTGGAAGCTTTCCTCAAGCCCCTGGGAGGGTGAAAATGGCCTCCCCAAACTCCGGAGGCCCTCTGGCCTTCCTGAACTTCCAGTAGGCCCATTTTTTGCCCTCCCCGAGCCTTTGTACACGCCCTACACTTACCTGCATCCAAAACGGGCTGCGTGGGGACTCCTGGGAGGGGTGGGGTAGGCGGGATCAGCCAGGAGTGGGATTTGGGGGTTCTCCGAACTGCACAGAATCTTAGCTAGAGGTTCTCCCAAAACCCTGCGAACCCCAAGCAACCCACTCCTGACTCAGTTACAAACTTCCAAGCATTTACTATCCTTTTTCAGCAAAACTGGATCATAACAAATCATGGGTTTGCTTCATGACTGCGGCATTTGATTAACAAGTGTGGTGGTCAATTTATGACCATGGAGGTCACTTAACTACTGCTTCAAAGGAGGTTATATAATCAGGCCGGTCACACGGGTGACCCAATTTACAACTGTCACAACTTACGACTGTGATCGGCAGACTCCATTATGGTCGTAAATCGAGGACTACCTGGAATGATTCTGATGCCCAAAGAATCTATGAAGCTAGGACCACAAATGCAAACAACTATCTCACTTGTCCATGTGCAGAGTGCATTATACTATAGCAGCCTTTCCCTATTTGATGCTCATTTAAAAGATTGGGATTAAAGTTTCAAAAATTTTAGACCAAACTGATGTGAAACTTTGGGAAATCTAGTTCTAACAAACTTGAATGTCTGATCAATATAACATTTACTCTACCAAACCAGAAGTAAACTGCATTGCTGAAAAACTCAAGACTCACAAGTAAATGAGAAAAAGGTCATTTTTTCCCTAGCAACATGGTAAGAAAAAAAATTCATTTCACTGGATTTTCAGAAAACCTTTTATAATAAAACAATGTAATTTTGTAATAAACTGTGGTTTATTGAACAAGCCACAATGACTTGCCTTCCACACACAGCCAAAGTCATAAACTGCAGTTTACAGTCCTTCATTTGAAGTCAAAATACCACAGTGACTTTGCATGACATGTAAATCCAGCTACAATGGCTGGAGATGCTCTCAGGTTTCAACAGGTCTTTCAAAAAAAAATGCAATGAAAAGTTTGGACTGAATTTGTAAGCTTAGTTTGGGAATGGACAAGTTAGTAAAACAGAAGCCAGTTATCGTTTGGTGAAAAGGGTTAGGTGGGTTTTTTTTCATCCTGCCTTTATTATTTTTATAAATAAATTAGCTCAAGACAGCAAGCATACCTAATAAAGATAGTCCTCAACTTACAACAGTTCATTTTATGACCTCTCAAAGTTACAATGATCCTGAAAAAGTGACTTATGACTGTTTTTCACACGACCACTGCAGCATCCCCATGGTCACTTGATCAAAATTCAGAGGCTTGGCAATTGACTCATATTTATGACGGTTGCCGTGTTCCAGAATCATGGGATCCACTTTTGTGACCTTCTGACAAGTGAAGTCGATGGGAAGCCAGATTCACTTTACAACAGCATAACTAACTGCAGTGATTCACTTAACAACTGTGGCAAGAAAGGTCGTAAAAAGGGGCAAAATTCATTTAAACAACTGTCTCGCTTAGCAACAAAAATTTTGGGCTCAACTGTGATCGTAAAGTGAGGACTACCTGTACTCCCTCTTCCTCCTATATTCCCCACAACAAGAATCCTGTGAGATGGTTTAGGTCTGTGATGGCGAACATATGGCACATGTGCCACAGGTGGCACGCTGAGCCATATCGGTGGGCACGCGAGCTCAGCTCCGCCGTGCATGCACGTGTCGGCCAGCTGAATTTTGGGTCTTTTAGGCCCACCGGAAGTCAGGAAAAAGGCTGTTCCCAGCCTCTGGAGGGCCTCCGGGGGAGTGGGGAAGGCCATTTTTGCCCTCCCCAGCCTCCTAGAAAGGCTCTGGAGCCTGGGGAGAGCGAAAAATGGGCCTACCTTGCCATCGCATGCCAGAAGTGGGGCGAGCGCGGGGGGGGTCGCACACGCATGGCGCATAGAATTATGGGTGTGGGCACGTGCGCGAGCGCGAGCGACACCACCACCCCCGCACTCCCCCCACTTTTGGCCCGCGATGGCAAAAAGGTTAGCCATCACTGGTTTAGGTTGAGAGTGTGTGACTGGCCCAAAGTCACCCAGCCAGTTTTCATACCAACAAAGGGACTAGAACTCACAATCCCCTGGTTTCTAACCTAGTGCTATAACCACTAGACCAAACTGGCTAAACGAGTTTTAGCTTGAATATCCCTGAGGTTGCATGCTATACCATAGGTCCTGTTTCAGCAAATGGAAGCCTCTGAATCCCTTGTCTGGGCCTGTGAAAATATGGTTGGGATTGGTTGATACTCTGATGGAGACCACCTAGAAACTCCAGGGGCGTAGGCTTCACTGAGAAATTAAATAATTCCCAAAGAAAGCAATGACAAACTACTTCTACTGTATGTTGGTATTTAAAAAAAAAACCTCTCTGTGAAGTCACCAGGAATAAATCTCGTCTTGAAGAAGACTTGACTTATTACTATTCAGAGATGGCTGCTTCCCGTTTAATGGGGAACCCCCATATTCGGCATCTGATATAGGATAAGTATCTATCTTGGGTTCTTAGCAGACTGGATCAGCTGTTGTGCTAAAACAAATTTTGGCCTGGGTCCAGCATAAATGAGTACACTTAGTCATACTGAAATGAATAGGCCTTAAATTGGTTGTAGACTACTTTTCTCAGATTTCAATGGCTCTTAAACTTACTATGAATCTGCCTCTTAAATTCAGTGAACACTGAGCATGGCAACTGGATTTGTAACATGGATCGATTTATCTACGTACCAAAACTCCTCCATAATAGTAGCAAAAAGTAAGATTTTTATTCTGTTCACATTTGTTTCCAATTCTGTTCTCTTCTTAGAGAATATATCTCTCAGGATACCTGGCTGAGGCCATCTTTGAGGCTTCAGGGTTGCCAACTGTCCTTTATATTGTAACTTTTCTCTGAATTTTGCAATGAAAATCCTGCCTTAAAATTCCATAAAAATAAAATGTAAACGAGGAAAAGATGCAGATAAGAATCTAATCATTATAAACAGGTACGTACAAAAAAGGTGTATACAAAAAAAAGGTTTATTTTCATAATACCAAACCAAACCTTGCAAGCTAATGCAGAAATCAGATAGGACAGACTTACAACTGAATAAAGGCAAAACAACTATGACTGGAGAAAACATGGTACATTTATATTTGCCAAACACACATATATGCAGCAATAAAATAGAATAAAATGCTATATCAGCTTCTCTACAAGTAAGTATTTTGCAAAGCTAAACTGTGCCTCCACTTTCTAGTACTGCTGTCTCTTGCTTTAAAAAAAAATAATTTAAACTTAAATCTAAATTAAAAAATTAAAATTGCCTGGATTTTACATACTGCATTTGTGTGAACAAAATGGTCACATTAAGCAAACTAATAATATTAACCTTAATGATATCATAACAATATTTAATTAATAGCTATTTCTGGAAAGTGCTGGGGTATCATTAGGTCTCTACCAATTAGCTTAAGCCTTACACTATAAATATTTTAAAAATAGGCAAAGAAACTGGGGGAAAGTCTTCATGTCTGTGAAGATATCAGTATCAAGATACCGTTCAATATTAGGAAAGCCTTTGATAAAAGGAAAAGGAAACAACAAGCTTCAACAAAAACACAGAAATGGGCAGATCTGCGATAAGAGTAAATAAGGCCAGCTACATCTGAGTGGCAAGTAAGATGTTTGTTCACTTACCTCCTGAGGAGCAACAGGTTCTAAACCCAGAACATGATGGATGGCAGTTGTTTCTGAACATCTAGAATTAGATAGCCAGGAGGTAGATCAAGCTCTATTGGTAAATTTCTAAGCAATTTGCAGCAGATCACCAAAGATTTCTGACTCCTGTTAGATTAGAAATCGAATGTGGTTTGTTTGTTTTTTTAAAGGACTCTGTCACAGATGACCACGTGCTGCTCATCACGTCAATTCACTGCCGCGGTATTCAACCATTTTAGCATTTGGTGTCAGAAACTGGGATATGTAGAACATCTGTAGTCTTGAATGCAGAAGCTGATGGAAGTTGTGTGTAGGATGTGATTGTCTCCATTCCCAAGTCACACTTTTATACTTGTCTCTGGTTGATGGATTTCTATTAAAACAACAACAACAACAACAAAGGTTCCCAGAAGCCTGAGACAACTCAGCCCAATACAGAAGCACATCTGGTCCTGATTTACAGTTTTCTTTTCCCCTCTAGCTTTTAAGGAGTGAGAGACCTCATCTTGGCACCAGTTACATTCACAATGAACAATACATACTTTCTTTCCCTCATTTCGTTACCGGCTCAAGATGAGATAAGCACGGAACAATGATACACATTTGCTCAGCTGCTACTGAAAAATGTGTCCTTCGAGGAAGCTGAGCTGTGATGCTCAGTGCATTGTTTTTATACCACTGCTATAAATCTATAGACATTTCATCTGAGAAACAGATTTATTTTTAAGCCAACATCTAAAGGCTTACTCTATACATGCTCAGTGTTAGTGAATCTAACTCAGTTAGTTATTTTTACTACATTTAGAATTCATTTTACTCAAAGGAAAAAAACCTGATCAGTCAACAAGAACAGGGATGCATAATTTCTGAGATAGTCCTCGACTTATAACCACAACTGAGGCCAACATTCCCATTGCTAAGCAAGACAATTGTTAAGTGAGTTTTGCCCCATTTTGCGACCTTTCTTGCCACTGTTACGTGAGTAACACAGTTGTTAAGTGAATCTGGCTTCCTCATTGATTTTGCTTGTCAGAAGGTCGCAAAAGGGGATTATGTGACCCCTCCCAGGACACTGCAACGAGCCATTGTGAATGAGCCAGTTACCAAGCCTTTGAATTTTGATCATGTGACTGCAAGGGTCGTTAAGTGTGAAAAGCAGTCATAGGTCACTTTTTTCCAATGCCGCTGTAACTTTGAACGATCACTAAATGAATGGTTGCAAGTTGAGGACACATTTTAACTTTTCCGTATTTGGCTTTACAGTGCAAGTAGGAAATGAAATATAAAGGCAAACGAGCATGCTGGGTCGATTGATTCAAATGAAGATTGTGGTACAATCGTCTAATAAATTAGGAAGCATTTGCCCAAATACATCCAACATGCACATGCTGAAAATTGCACAGGTTGCTAGTATATGCTGGGTGTGCCTACAAGCATCGAGAGGGCACCGAGTGAGTGGGCCCTGTTCCATCCCACACTGAACACAGCTGAAGCTTGTTTTTCAGTGCAGAAAAGCTGCTTTGGCTCTTGGATGCCTCCCTACCCAGATGGGAGCCACCTGCTGCTCCTTCTGTAGGGCGGATCTGCCAGCCAAAGGTAGCAAACTTTGCTTCCATCTCAAATGATTCAGAGTTGGTCAGAAATAGGTCATTTCTGGGACTGGGAAAAAAAAAAAGCAAGGCTGGCCAGAGAAAAGTGTACCTTCTCAAATACCTGTGAGAATGCAGGTGGTCCTTGATTTAAGATTATAACTGAGCCCAAAATTTCCATTGCTAAGCGAGACAGTGGCTAAATGAGTTTTGCCCTGTTTTATTACCCTTTTTTCACCCTTGAGCAAATCATTGCAATCATGGGGTCGTTAAGCGAATCTGACTTTCCCCCCTTCACTTTGCTTATTGGAAGTCTGCTGGGAAGTTTACAAATGGGGATCATCAGGATAGTGCAACTGTCATAAATACATGCCAGTTGCCAAACGGCAAAATTTTGATCAAGCGCCTGTAGGAATGCTGCAATGGTCATAAAAGTAAAAACCGATCATAAGTCTTTTTCCCCCCCAGCACCGTTGTAACTTCAAGCAGACACTAAATGAACGGTTGTAAGTGGAGGACTAGCTATAAATATCCCACCTCCCACAAGGTGCTGCTGATCCCTATTCTAACTAAAGGTTCTTCCTTCTTGACAGTATTTCCCACCCCTGAGAAGAGGCTTTTATGACTAAGGACCAAACAAACAAGGTAAGGTAAAGGTAAAGGCTCCCCTCGTACATATGTGCTAGTCGTTCCTGACTCTAGGGGACGGTGCTCATCTCCGTTTCAAAGCCGAAGAGCCAGCGCTATCCGAAGACGTCTCCGTGGTCATGTGGCCGGCATGACTACACAGCAAAGGCACACGGAACGCTATTACCTTCCCACCAAAGGTGGTCCCTATTTTTCTACTTGCATTTTTTACATACTTTCGAACTGCTAGGTTGGCAGAAGCTGGGACAAGTAATGGGACCTCAACCTGTTATGTGGCATTAGGAATTCGAACTGCCGAACTGCCGACCTTTCGATCAACAAGCTCAGCGTCTTAGCCACTGAGCCACTGCATCCCTATAAGGACCAAGTCCCTAAGGACAAGGACCAAACAAACGGGACTTCAAATAAATGAGTCATTCTTTCTGTAATTCCCAGCCTTCTCTTTATACACAATGCAAGACAAGGGCTGTGTTGCTTTCTAGCATACATAAAAATTGACAGTCGACGAGCTATCCTCCACCCCAAGCTCACATTGAAAGCCATGTGTTTGTCTACCAGCCCCAGGAAACCCCATCACAATACTAATTGCCCAAAGAAAAGAACCACTGCAAAAAACCTGCTATTTTCCTGCCAATCCTGGTAAATTAGATACCATGTCTCTGAAAAGCAGCCACTGATCAACTTTTTAATCACATCCCTACAAAGGAAAGCAAATAATCTGTTTCCCGTCCATATTAGGCTTTGCATGTGATCTTTCTAGGTCCTGGCTCTGCACTTTTTAAAAACAATCTGTATAAAACTCGACACATATACTGAAATGCACAATATTAGAACATGTTTTTTTTTTCTTCTTCACAGAATACACCAGTCTAGGTTTATTTATTAAAATGCACTTATTTACTTTAAAATGTAATTCATGGTAAATTATGGCTGCCAAATGCATGCTGCTCTGCTTTTTGATTTGCAGAACTCCGAAAAATGATATTTTAATCTGTACATAAATCAAAGACTTGCAAAGCAGATAGTTTGCATTGCAATTCATAAAGATCATAAAGCATTGCTGTATATCAGCTTGCCACAAACGTAAGTGTGGTGAATCTGGATACCAATGACAGGTTTATGAACTCCCAACACATCTGGAGGGCATTTGGTTGGAAAAGCAACTACTATACGCTGGTATTTTTGACTCCAAGTTATCAATGTATGAATGTGGTACCAAAAGTGATAAGGGACAGCTTGTAGAAAGTATGACTAAAAATAGCAAGAGTTAGAACTGTGCCAAATTTGTAGGTCCTTTTGAATAAGCAATTGAAAGCAAGAGTAGCATGAAAAGCAAATGTATTCCGGGAGTTGTTTTTGAAAATTATGAATGGATTTGTCTATTTTTAATTGGTTTCATTTACCCCTACTGTCAAATCTATTGAACTGCAAAGAAGAGTGATCTCATCCTGTTTCCTACACGAAGTCATTTGAGATATTCTATAATCTATATCATGATTAAATGGAAAGGCACAATAATGAAAATGGGTGAACGTTGCCAATTCCACAACAAAGGCTGAAAGCTGGAGAGGAAGGCAAAGTAAACATAGCCTCACTCATTTAGATAGAGGTGGTTTCCAATAAACTACTGTATGTTCAGTAGCACAATTAATATAGTGGTTAAAGTGTTGGACTAGGACTGGGGAGACCCACTTTTGGGGGGGGGGACATTTAAAACAGGGGTGTCAAACTCATGACCCACAGGCCAGATGTGTCATGCGCTGGCTACCCCCACCCCTGGATTAGCGAAGGAGGAAAAAGTTGTAATACATCACATGACAACGTGTCGTCACGAATTTGACACCCCTGATCTAAAGCAACATCAAAGTGGCATGACCAGGTACCTGAAGCCCTGTCCCTTTTTACATCCATGTAACATGGATGTTAAAAAGAGGCGTTCACTATTATTATGCTGTTGATGGCTCCTGCAGATGCCCTGACCAAGTTCCACTTCATACTCAGGCACACAACTCAATGGGTGACTTTGAGTCAGTCAGTCCTGCACTGTTGTATGACAATGGGATCAATCCTAGAGCAGTGGAGCATAGATAAGTCTGCAATGCTTAGGACACCTAGTTAGAATCAACTGTAGCTGAACAAAACACGCTTCTGAATTTGCTCTGGATTGCAATACACACCTGTCTTCCTCTGGATGCAAAATTGAGCAGATTAGTCGGTCTTCAAATTGTATAACCAATACCCTTTGCTTGGAAAAATCACTGTGATAGAAAAGAGCTGAAGTCTGATTACGATTTGGAAGAACAGAAATGATTAAACTCTCACTGCAGTCATGAGTCGTCCTTTTCTCGCTAATTATGTCGCTGTTTATATTATGCTTACATACAAATGTGCACTTTATCACTTCCCGAGTGACAGCCGGCACATTTCGGTTTTTGCTCTCCTTTCATATGGAAAATGTCATGAAATATTTATTCTCACTTGCCCCTTCTTTTGAGAACATGCACTTTGCTTTTTAATGCGGTTATTCTGCTAGGACCAATAGAAGACAAAAGAGAACCAAATTTCAACCATTCAGTGCAATGTTGCAGAGCTGAACAAGCGTTTCCTCAATATCCTTCTCAGATCTTCTCCAAACCCAACCAAGCATTCAGTTGCAAAAGTCAAAGTGGGCTCAAACATGTTTAAAACATATATTAACCAGAGCATTTTGCACATGTCATAAAGACCTAAATGAGAATAGGAATTCCTGTCTCCTTATGCTCACTTTGGGGTTTTCCTTCCCCACAACAACTAATTTTGCTGCAGTGCTCTCTGAGCTTTTCTGTTTTCTTGCAGACATTTCATTACCCTAATCAGGCAACATCATCAACACTGACTAGCACTGATGATGTTACCTAGTTAGGGTAATGAAACGTCTGCAAGAAAACAAGCAAGCTGAGAGAGCACCAAGGACCCCTCATTTCAAACCTGAGCTACAAATATTCTCCTTCATTGGAACTAATTTTGCTGCCTGTTCTGGATAGCTATGCAAAATATGATGTGGTCCCTTCCTGCAAGGAGAAGCCCCAATCACACAAGTGCTTGATTTGCCCCAAAGGTGCTTTTTCCAAAATGCAACTGAACGTTCCTTGAGAGG